CGTTGTGGCGGATGCCTGTGGTCCCAGCTACTTGGGAGGCTGAGGCAGGAGACTCGCTTGAGCCCAGGAGTTGGAGGTTGCTGTGAGCTGTGATGTGACAACACTCTACCCAGGGGAATAGCTTGAGGCTCTGACTCAAAAAAAAAAAAAAAAAAGATATAATTTAAAGATATTAATGAGGCCCACTCATTTTATCACCTTTCCCTCTGAAAAGAGGTCAACTCTGCTGAATTGTCTTTGAGATTTTGAAATGCAAAATTTAGAAGAAAGGGAAAGTCAGAGAGGCAAGTAGAATTAAGAGCCTTTATATGGAGCTTCTCTTCTGGAGAGTTTAGGGAAGGAAATAAATGGAGCAACTTCAGCCTGTGGAAAAGTGGATAGGAGAAAAGATGAATTCTTAAGAATTATCACATTATACCAAGTATATAGTACAAGCATATAATTTTTTTTCTTAAACTGAGTTCAACTAGCTGTATGTCAGAAAGCCTATGTAACATCCTAAATATTGTCACTTCAGCTCTTCAGTTGTCTTCATCTATGAAAGAAAAATTTTATAAAATGATTTTCACACAGGACTGGCAAATGAATAAGCAATTAAAGCAATTCTTTTGGTATTAATAATTTAAAAATATATTATTCCCAATAGGGGAAAAATGGCATTTTCTCTCTAAGTTTCTGTTTTCTCTTGTATTTGGAGGAAATTACGAGGCAATGGTATTCAATGAGGCCAGAAGGAAAGTTGAAATTAAAAGTTAATGGCAGGCAGTGCCTGTGGCTCAGAGGAGTAGGGCGCCAGCCCCATATGCCAGAGGTGGCGGGTTCAAAACCCAGCCAAAAACTGCAAAAAAAAAAAGTTAATGGCTAGTCCAATTAAAAAATCACTATATTCAAAGAAAAAATGTGTCCCTGCAGTTGATAGAGTTTCTTTCATGGTATTTAAGAAATGTAATTGGAGAATATGAGTTATTTCTAAACGACTTTTTTCATTCTGACAGTGATAGTCATTGTACTAAAGTAATAGATCATGGCTTTAAATATGTTCTAAGGCCACTGATGCTAAGGTGTGAAGAATAGTGAAGGATAAGATTGAAAGGTAGGTTAGGGGCCGGATTGTGGACAGACTTCAGTGTATGGAGTTTACATTTATTTCAACTGGTAGTGTATGGTTTGAAAGAAGTCAGGCAGGTAAATGAGATCATCAAAAGCATGGTATAAGAATACTAATCTGGTGGCCTCTTTCTAAAGTGAGAAATGGCAGAGAAGGCTCTGCCTGTAGCTCAGTGGCTAGGGTACCAGCCAACATACACTGGAGTTGGCAGGTTCGAACCCAGCCTGGGCCTGCCAAACAACAATGACAACGACAACCAGAAAATAGCCAAGCATTATGGTGGGCGCCTGTAGTCCCAGCTACTTAAGAGGCTAAGGCAAGAGAATTGCTTAAGCCCAAGAGTTTGAAGTTGCTGTGAGCTGTGATGTCACTGCACTCTACCAAGGGCAACAGCTTGAGACTCTGTCTCAAAAAAAGAAAAGAAAAGAAATGGCAGAGGAAATACCAAATAGCAAGCTTATTAAAATAATTTGGGAGTAAAGCAAGCCTGAGTGAAAATATTGATAACAGGAAAAGAAAAAGATAAATTTGAGAGACATTATGGAAAAAACTTAACATGAAGGGGAGTGGTCAAGATGGCCGACAGGCACCAGTCTCCAACAGAAGCTCCTGTTCAGAGGAAAGGATAGAGTCTGGAGAAACACCCAACAAAGTCGAAAACTGGGAGCCCAGCTGAGAGAGAAGAGTGATACTGGCAGGACACCTCTTCTGAGACAGGCGGAGACTCCTAGAGGACAATCCACAGGTACATAAATCTCTCCGAAGGAACAGCGCCCATCCCCTCCCCCAAGAAAGGTGTGCTTTTCCTTTGTTTCCTCTTCAACCGCTCCTCCGAGTCTCCTACAGGCCACCGATAAACTGAGGACCTATTCTCTCACTCCACAAGTGAGAGCTGCCAACAGGGAAGTTTACCACCCTGGAGGAACCCAGTTGAGACTTGGAACACCCTCCCCCAGGCAGAAAAGTGGAACTGGCATTTGCACTGCCATTTTGAGTTTCCAGTCCACTCTCCCTCCCCTTGCCGGCAGAGACAGGGAGAGGACACCCAAGAACAGCATCCACCCACCCTTGCAAGACCAAACTCCTGTCCCAGCCCTTCACCGGAAGAACTGCTTGATCCATGCTTTCTTCGTGCAGACGGATCCCCCTCAGTCAGCGCATTCTGTGCTCAGCTGTCTCCCCAGCTGCTATCTGCACTTCTCAAGACCTTGGTGCCAGTGACCGGGATTGAAGCCGGACAGGGAGGGCTACACACCCCGCCAGGCATCCACCTCTGGGTCTTTGGTGGCCCTTGACAGTGATTGACGTCTGCTGGGTCGGGTCACTGAGCCACGCCCGCCTCCCGGAGCCCTGCTGGCCTGCGGTAGCCATGGACTCCTGCTGGGGAGGGTTGCACAGTCCCGCCAGCTGCGTGCCTGCCTCCAGGGCTTTGGCGGCTGGTGAGGGCAACTGACTTCTGCTAGGGCAGGTCGAGCAGCCGCGTGCCTGTCTCCTGGGGGCCCCTAGCCCTTGATCACTACCAGCTCCTGACTGAGAGGGTCGCGCCATCCCGCCAGCCATGTACCTGCCTCCAGGGCTTTGGTGGCCAGTAAGGACAACTGACCTCCACTGGGGCCGGTTGCGCCTGCCTCCCAGGACTGTGACAGCAACGCTGACTCCTGCAGGGGTGGGTTGCATCACCCTGCCTGCTGGCCCCGCCTCCCGAGGTCTTGCCAGGTTGTACCCAGGAGAAAACTAGAAGAAGCCACTGGCAGAACAGTTTTAGGGATGGTTTCCGAAAGATGCAAATTCAACATGGGACAGAATCAGCGGAAAAACTCTGGCAACCAGAATAACCAGAGTAGATTAACACCCCCAAAGAAGGATAGGGTAGACACAATTGAAGACCCACTACATAAACAGATATCTGAAATGTCAGAAATTGAGTTCAGAATCTGGATAGGGAATAAGATCAACAGTTGGAGGAAAAGAGGGAGCTAGAATTTCAAATCATTCAAAAGCTGTCCCAGGAATTCAATGATTTCAAAGATAAAATGATCAAGGATTACGATACACTAAAACAAGAGGTTGCAGATTCGAAGAACACCGTTGAATCCCTCCACCAGAGGATGGATGAGGCAGAAGATAGGATCTCCGACACTGAAGACAAAGACTTTGAACGCACCCAGACTTCCAAAGATTTTGACAAATGGAGAACAAAAACAGATCTCTCACTCAGAGAGATCTTGGATAATTCAAAGAAA